CCCCAAAACCCCAAAACCCCAAAACCCCAAAACCCCTTGCTCATATTCCTTAATTGAATAATACCTTTGATTTAGCTTTGGAGGAGATTAAAGAAGTATTCACATTCTAGAACTCCATCTTCCTCAAGATCAGTGCACTGGATGGCATTAGCCACTCTATCAATACCATACTTGGCTCTGATGGTATTTGGTCTCAGTACTTTAGCGATCTCTGGGTCGTGGGGTCCACAGAGCTTTCTGAATGCTTCCACTACATTCTCTTGTCTGATTTCCATTACAATACAAGGGCCTGTAGTGAGTTCTTCAACGATAGGAAGGAATTCTGGGAGAACTCCCTTGTATACTTCAAGGAATTCCTCAGCAGCTGGGGTGTCGAGGTTGAAGACCTGAAGAGCAGAAACTTCAAAGCCTTCGTCAAGGATCATTTGGATGACTTCTCCTGCTAGTCCTGATTTTACGATGTGAGGTTTAATTATTCCACATGTACAGTTGTTCTGGAGACTTGTGCTTGGCATTACGCTATCTGAGCCAAAGAAAATTCCAAGCTCTCTTTCTGCAGAAGCTGGAGAGTCAGAACCATGGCATGCATTTCTAGTACCATCTGATCCAAACTGAGCTCTGATTGATTCAGGGGCTTCTTCTTTGGCTCTCTGAGTATTGGTTGGGCCCAATAATTCTCTCCATGCAAGGATAGCATTCTCTCTCACTAATTCAAGCCCGACGCAAACATCACTTGTTACGAAGTCTACTAAAGTTGGGTAGAAGTGCTTTCCTTTATGCTCACCATAGAAGATTCCTGCAGTATCTTCTGTGAATCTGGACATCTTCATTTTGTTAATTTTGAATCCTGCCTGAAAGATCATAGAAATAATCTTTCCAATATTTAGGTAAGCATCTGGCTTGATCATTGCAAATGTCTTCTCAGAAGATGAGTCAAATGCACCTTTAGTGTAAGCATCAGCATAACTCACAACCTTGAGTTGTCTGGAATAAATCGTGATTATAGATCCAATGTGGAGGTCTTCTAGGTTTACTCCCTTATATGCAGTTCTTTTTAAGAAAATCCTTTTGTTCTTTATATCAAACATATCAATTGTGTGGTCGTCTAGGTAATAAGTAAGGTTGTAGTTTCTGACGAGGCAAGCCTGTTCGTCATACCATTCAACAATGAACACAAATCTATTCTCAGCTGCTGACATTTGAAATTTCTTATAATATTAATTTTAAATTTATTTTTGTTCGGGGTTTTGGGGTTTTGGGGTTTTGGGGTTTTGGGG